ACTGAGTTATTATTATGCAATTTAATACAGTTGAAATGCGCACGCCAATTTTTACCTCACGGTGTCGTATGGAAAATGTAGTGTAAAATGGAAAGAGACGGCGCATGTTACACGGCAGAATATCGGGGGAAGGGTGTGCTGAAGAAGCAGGTCCACGAACTCCGGCCTCAGACTTCCGAGTTCCCACACGTTGAACTCACCAAATTCCTCCACGTGGCGCCGACGAATTTCCCGCGTGGGTCCCATCTTCCCCCCAAATGTTTTTAGAAGTTCCATGGGATGCCTTAGCTTATGCCAAGGAACCAACAACCACCGTCACTGCCTCTGCCCTCCCCCCATTTTAATACATAATTTTGACTTCCATAGCAAAAAAAAAAAAAAAAAGATAAAGATAAATGCCCCCTTTGCTTGAACATACCCCTCTCCCATTCTCTGTCTTTCTCTTGTGATTCTTGTTGTGTTGATAACTTTTCTATTCAAAGTTCATCACTTTCTCTCTCTAGAATCTTTTTCCTGTTCTGGGTTGGTGTTATGATACAGAGGTGATTGATCTGTGAAGAGAAGATGGGGGGTTGTGTATCTGCCCCAGGGAATTGTGTTGGGGGGAGATTTGGGTCTTTGAAGAGGAAGAGGAAGAATAGGAGAAAGAAGAATTTGAGGAGGAAAGTGTCATCCCGGTTATCTGATAGATCGGTGAGCAAGGGTGATAGGTCTGTTCCGTTTGACCATCGCTCCTCCTTCGCCAACCCAGATTTTAAAGGTTTGCTTCTGTCTCTTTGCCTTTGGCAGGGGCTGGTTTTTCCTAATGTGAGTGTGGTTTTGTGTTTTTTTGTTGATTTTCTTTCATGGGTTCTGGTGATTGTTCTGTTGAACTGTTTTGGTATTTGCATGAAGGTTTTGGATTGTTAGGCGTGTAGGTTGTGGGAAATGGTCTGAGGTGGTTAAATCTCGTTGGATCAATACATGCTTGTGTGTGTAATTGGTTAATGACTTCTTTTAAAGCTGCTACTTTTTAATGCTTAGTCTTTTATAGATAAATTGATGATGAAGGGGTGCTCTTTTTTCTGAACTAAGGTGCGGTGTTATATCTGAACGATTAATCCATACCCTTTCCATTGACATTTTGTGTTAAGCAAGATTTTTACCTATTTTTGGCTTGATCAAATTGTTAATGGTGTATGATGGAGGATCTGTTAGGAAGAAGGTGATTTGATGATCAAATTTAATATTGTCCGCAAATGAGAATTTGGACCATGACGCAATTTGGAAGCAGAATGGAAACCTTACTGTTCGATTATTTGGAACACTGAAAGTTCACCAGCTTGAGCTAGATTCTAATTTGCTAGGCTATTTTGCTTTAGCAGATTGGGGGTCTTATCCCACACAGATTAACATGGGCTGCTTGGAATTTATCTGGATGGAGACAGCTGCCTGCCTGCATCCAAACTTTGTGTTTTCCAAGACTATTCTTGTTTCTGCTAAGATTATTGCTCAGTGTTTGACATATTATGTCTGAAATGGTTTTCTGTTCTTAATGGTTAGGTGTCTTTAATTTATCATTTTACTTACTCTTCATAAAAAATTTGTTTATTTCCTAAAATCAATGACTTCTGTCTTTTCAATTTATGATTTTCTTCTTCTGTGCTTCAAGTGTTATTCTTTTCATGGTTCTTGTTGCAAGGCGATTACATTCTTCATAGTTCTTGTTGCAATGTGATCACATTCTGATCAACTCCTTCATTTACTTATTTGGGAACCAATTTATGAAAATATTGAAATTCAGATCACCACCCCTTCCAGATCCTACTTTTAGGACCCTTATTCTTTGATTTATGGTCTACCTTCCCAAAAACAATTCCAAATGCCTTCTTCATCACAAAGTTAGTGTACAATTACGGGCATTTCTGTGAGTCTGGGACATTTCAGTTTATAATAGGTCTGTATCAGATGTAGTGGATTGCCTGACATCATTATCATCTAATGATTTGCAGGGAGCATTGAAGAGGCATGGTTTGATTCATTTCCAGTATTTGAGTCTGACGGTGAAGATGAGTTTGAAAGTGTACAGGATGGTATGATAGTTTAGAAGTTTGATATCCATTGTGTGTATAATTTTTTTTCTTCATTTGGTCATGGATCTGATTTTTTTTTTTTTTTTTTTTTTTTTTCACTTTACTTATCTTCAGATGCATTTTCCTCAAATGGCTTAGAACGTGCATCTGTATCAAGTATTTCATCACAAAGAGATGCTAATTGTGGAGAACATTCTGCACACAATTCTGTCAGTGAGGTTGCTAAGCGTTCAAATAGTCAAGTCTTTAATTCAGATGATGTTGATTCCCAGGCAAAATGTGATGGGCCTTCTCATGAAGCAAAGCAACCTGTATTTATTGATGATATCTCATCCTCTGTGGATGAAGGTGCTGACAAGGAGGAAAGATTGTTGGATAATTGTGGCATTCTTCCAAGCAATTGTTTGCCTTGTCTAGCATCTACTGTTCCACCTGTTGAGAAGAGAAGATCTCTATGTTCTAGTCCACCCAATGAAAAGAAAAAGGCTTCCTTAAAGCTTTCATTTAAATGGAGGGAAGGACATTCCAATTCTGCCCTGCGTGAGTATTTACGTTATCCACATGGACCACATTGAAGTTTCTTTATCTGTTGGATACAACCATGACCACAGTTACCATTGTGTAAATTTTGTTGGAACTGCATTATTTTGATAGTTTTGGTTTCATGTGCAACAGTTTTGATAGGGTTTATACTTGATAACCTAGCAGGTCCATGATTGTTATTGGTGGAGAAAGTTTTTAGCAATTGAGGTCTTTTAGAAAATATCATCAGGAAAACAGTTTCTTTGATATATTTTATTAATTTGCCTTTTTTGTTTTGTCTCAGTTTCTTCAAAGACGCTTCTGCAGAGACCAATAGCAGGTTCTCAAGTACCTTTTTGTCCAATAGACAAGAAAATGCTTGATTGTTGGTCATGCATTGAACCAGGTACTTTCAAGGTCCGAGGAAGGAATTATTTTAGGTAAGACCAGAAGGGTTCAGCATCTAATTCCTGGATTTTACATTTTTGCATGTAGTTGTATGCGTAAATTTTTTATTATTATGAAAATATAGCTTGTGTCAGACTTTCTGCAGGCCTTTTGATCTCAATTCACATTGTAAATCTTTTATTGCAGCAACTATCTCATTTACTAGGCAATTGTTTATTTGTATGGCAGGGACAAGAAGAAGGATTGGGCGCCAAACCATGCTGCATATTATCCATTTGGTGTTGATGTATTCTTATGTCAGCGAAAAATAGATCATATAGCTCGATGCGTGGAACTTCCAGTTGTTAGCTCTTCTGCTAAACTCCCATCTATTCTTGTTGTAAATGTTCAGGTCTGCCTCATTTTTTTAGAAAATTAGTCTATGCATGCATCACATGTGTTTTTCATTTTTATCCATGACTTTTGGTTCAAGGGTCCTCACTAAGCCCTAATACTGCTCTTTAAGGTGTCAACTCATGCTTTATGTTTTAGTGAAACTGCAACCAATGACATATTGATCATGATAGAGGACCATCTAAAGCAATTCTCATTTCTTTCATCTTGTTCTGACATGGTGCCATATTTTTGCCTTTTGTAAATCCCTTCATTTGTGTTTTCAAATGATTCTTGTTCAACACCTTTTTGCTTGCTTATATCCACTTTTTTACCATATTATTTTATTTTTTGGCCCAGTACTTTAATAACGAAGTTAAGACTCTCCATATCCATGTCAAAAAGTTCATCTGGCTATTATCTCAAAGCCTCACATGCATGAGAAGCAAACCTTTTTCTTCTTTATGTCATTATTCATGTGTTACCATTTTTTGTGGGCTGTACAGACTCCCTTGTATCCTGCCACAATTTTTCAGAGTGAGGCTGATGGGGAAGGAATGAGTATTGTTTTGTATTTTAAACTGTCTGACAATTACTCTGAGGAACTTCCACTTCATTTTCAAGAAAATTTCAGAGTAAGATATAAACTTCTTAAATTTGGATTGCAGCTTAACCTGCCTAAGATGGTCTATTTTTATATTCATATTGTCTGATTTAAAGTTGAAGCAGTCATGTTAAATTGCAACGAATGCTTCTTTTCCAAACAGAGATTGATTGATGATGAAGTTGAGAAGGTCAAAGGATTTCCTTTAGATTCAATTGTACCATTTCGAGAAAGGTTGAAAATATTGGGCCGTGTTGCAAATGTGGAAGATCTTCATTTGAGTGCAGCAGAGAGGAAGCTTATGCAAGCTTACAATGAAAAGCCTGTTCTTTCTCGCCCTCAACATGAGTTCTACCATGTAAGTTTCTGGCTAGCTCTTTTTTTTCTTTTATGGGTGCATAAAAGACAACTTTTAACAAATGAATATCTGCAATACGCAAATGATCTAGTAGATAATCCAAGAAGCATTGCTTTGCAGAGATGCAGGGTTTTACTTTGTATTCCTTATGCTTGTAACAAAATTTTGCAGGGAGAACATTATTTCGAGATTGATATAGACATGCATAGATTCAGTTACATCTCTAGGAAAGGGTTTGAAGCATTCCTAGACAGACTAAAGCTCTGCATCTTGGATGTTGGCCTCACCATCCAGGCTAGTAGCGATCCCTCTCTTTTTAATGACACATTTGATGATGGGCTATATACTTATATACCTAATACGTTCATTCAGGCAATATACTTATACCTAATAAGCTCATTCTAATACAGGGGAACAAACATGAAGAGTTGCCAGAGCAGATCTTATGTTGTATCCGGTTAAATGGCATTGACTACATGAAATACAATCAACTGGGCTCAACTCAAGAGGCACTCTGATGCTGTAGTTGCCCAAATGTTGTCAAGGTTAATATTTCATTTAATACTAGGCAATTCTTGCCGAAATTTTTGTTGCATTTTCCAAAAATTTCAAAACCCAGTTAGCCTGGGGCAATAGCTCGACCTACTGCCATTGCTTCAGGTTTATTAACTCAAAAAGATTTTTTCCCTCCAATAGATATCTAATAAGTTCTTCAGGTTCCTCACTCAGCTTTAAACATTCATCTGGAATTTCACCAGTGAGCTTGCTGTGGCTTAAATCCAAGCTTTTCAATGCCTTGACTTCCCTCATGGAAGCCGGTAACCATCCTTCGAGAAGGTTGTCTTTTGGCCCTAAAAAAAGACTTCATATTTGCAGACATGAGGTGTTCTTGTTATGGTTTGGAGCTTGAGGTTCATCCCAAGAACAGAAACTCCGTCTTTCTTTTGTAATCTCAACAAGGGTCTCTCACATTTATCATTACACCTGAAGACTAGTAAATATGATTAAGAGCATAGAAAGACATCGTCAAATTTCAAGCTAAGCCTCAAAATTATGTGTCCTGTAAAGTTGTTTTCCAAATTCTATAGCAACATGGATGGTGATTCCTAGAGACTTCTTGTTTGCTTTCTGCAATGTGTACAAACATTTAGTAACAGGATTCTAATTACTTCCATGAGATACAACTGAAGACATTACAGACGCGGTAGGGCTTGTAACCTCTCGATCCACATTGCCAAAGTTGCCTTTTCCAGTTAACATCTTTATCGCTATTTGAGCAACTTCAGCAAACCAGTCATCCTCTGGTAAAACACTGCAAAACAAGGATTATTATTCCCGTAGGGGCCAACAGCAACAAATGAAAATTTTCAGTTCTGAGGACTCCATATTCACCTGTATGGATCAAGTCCGCTATTAGAAACTGCCTCAATAGCTCTCTCAATAATGTTTTTGATTACTTGTTGAAGATTTCTGGAGAGATACCGGCCTTGAGAAGCAAACACCATCACAAACTCCATATCCAAATAAAACTGCATTAAAATCAAACAGTAGTATAAAATTCTATCGGTAACAATGAATGTGCTAGAAACATGAGTTCTGCGTTCTGTAAGCATACTTGTTGAATACCAAGAGCACCTAGAGGCTTAGGCCCTTCCTCTATCTCTTCCCAGAAGGTTTGGTCTTCAGAAAGCCAAAGGATCACAGTCTCTGTCAGTCTCATTAATAGAATAGTGGCAAACCTTTCCCTACCCACAAACATGTCAGTTGCAATGCTTGCTATTTGTGTCAGTTTAAGAAAAAGTTCCTGAAAGGAGAGACAGAAATGTCATAAAGAGCAGAAGATTTAAGAAAGAAAGAAATGTGTTTCATGAAACAATTATTTCTTGAACAAAAGACAAACTTGCAGCTTAATTACCTGGAAAATTGAAGAGGGGAACCATTCAGGTTCCTGTGTGTTTCCATCCATGCTCAAGTAGATCTGTGCATTGAGACGGATGTAACCATCATCTGTAAAGATGAGTTCAAGGGCGTGATGTCTACAGAAGCTATCTCGCAAGCGATCAACTGAGCGTTGGAGCCTCCTTTTCCATTCCCTTTGATCTGGAACACGGCTTGGCCTGTCTGAAGATCCTCTTTTAGGGGTGGCATCAACTCTGTTAGACTGGCTCAAAGGCAAAAGCTTTACGGCAGCACGTGGGAGCACGTCGTCTGCCAACAATGATGCATTAGCAAGCAAGGCTATTTGTTGGGCTTCAGTTTCTGCCACCCTGACAACTTTGCCACTGGAACCTTCATTCTCTTCCTGTTCCATTGATCCAGGCAATGCGTTTATCAACAAACTAACATAGGAGTTGAATACTTCTAAAGCACCTTCAAGTGCAGGTCCATCTAGCTGAAGACTCTCAAGGGGTGCCACATCTTCCAAAAATTCCTGAATTCAGACATATACACGATTAATGAAGTGGAATTGAATGGAGCTTGAATGATGGTTCAGCCCATGAGTTCTCAAATTAAAACATTCTCCACTTTGAACCGAACCACTAAACAGAAGCAATAAGGAAATCCAGTGGCAATAAGTTTCTAAATCTGACACATCTTTCAGAAGCTTGTGCTTGATTGTGGAAGAGAAACAAATAACATTTCGAAGAAAAAACACATGTCAAACTAAGATGCAATGAGTCAATCTATGTTGTTAGGGTAGAAGTTCCAAGTAAAAAACAAAAATAATGACCTGAACCATTGAACTGAATCTGCGAGCACTGCTTGAAAGTTTTGGCTGTGACACAATTGAATTGCTAAGAGAGGCAGTAGAAGACAATGGACGTGAACCAATTGGTGGATGGGTGAGTACCCAGTCATCTGCAGCAGCTAGTGCAGCGCACGTCCGCTCAATTCTTTTTAAGTTGGTTCTTAATGCCTCTTCCAGGGTGTGCCTGAATGGCCTCAATAGGACAGGAGAGAGTGCCAAGCCACGAGCTTCCAACAGAGAACAATGAGTCAAGCATATCTGGATACATTCAGAGGCAACTCTTAGACTTCCGGAGGCTGCTGATGCAGCCAGAACATGCCTCTTCAGAAGCAGAGAAAAGACTTCTGTCTGCTTGACAGACCAAGTCACAAGCTCAGATGAACATGCAGGTTCCTCACCAAACACTGCCAAGGAGTCACTAGATGCTTTTGCAATGGTTGAAAACACAATCTGCGAAAGGGCTGCAATAAATGTTGCTCCAAATGAAGTGTTTGACAAGCGAAGACTTTGCATACCGCACTGTAACTTTTGCTGGTGAGACTTTAGTAACAAGGTATGGGCATGAGGACCATCCCCAAGGTCTTTAAGAGCTAAAACAGCTGCATGAAGCTCACCACCACAGGTAGAAGGCTCACAAATAGTATCTGCAAGCTGATCAGCTAGTTTTTGTCTCAGTCCAGCAATGGTGTTCTTCAATCTTAGAAGTGCACCCGGGCTAAATTTTTTGCTTCCATTAGCTTCCTCTGCTAGGCGTTCTCCTTCATCCAACGCTGTCATAGCTTCACTCACTCTCTTTTCAGCCAACAGGACTTCCAGAGTGTCCAAAAAATCTACCAACCAATTCTCAGTTTTGGAATGTTCTTTATTTTCAACAATAAATATGTCCTCTTCGGCTGAATCTTCAGCACCATTTGACACGGTATCAATCCTAATATCTTCAGCTAAACTATGAACTAGAGCTGCTTGAGTAGATAGATAATTTCTCATAGACAGGAGCTCTCCCTCAAGAACTGTAATCTCCTTTGATGTGCTGTAAATATGAAAAAGACAGATTGATATATCATGAATTACAATCATGCTTACATATAGCCTGTAAACATTGAACCCTTCTTTAAATAAACATAACGAGTTATTACCAGTAATCTAACACCAAAATAAGCATCCCAAGTGCTGACATCATGCCAATCAAAGTTCCACATGCTGAAAAATTGCATACGAATACTCAAATTGGTATGATTTCCTATTGAAAATGTATTGATACATTTTCGATTCATCATACTTGCAACATTCATTGATTTAGTCAATAAAGTCTACATTTTTAAGTTTTTTAGTTTTCAATTCAAATTTGAAAATAATAATTTTTTGATGAATGTATTGTGAAGTATGTTAAATTGAAGGATGCTGAGTAGAAGGGTGTCTATATTAATGTACTTTTTCCTATTACAATAAAACGGGCTAGATGAAACTTGCAAATTCAATATATTGACAACATTTTCAATCATGTCAGCACAGATTGCATTCTAATCAACAGAGCATCATACCCAAGCATACCAACGCTGGCTCATATCAAAATCACAACCACATTAACGTAGGAAAAAAATGTTACAAAGAATTATCATTTCCATTTAAAGTATGAACTAAGAAGGCAGGCAACAGCATAAACACTTCAGAGGATTTATAAACAAGCCATGCTTACCGTATAAAGGCTCCATAATTAGCATAAACACTTCAAAGGATTCATAAACAAGCCATGCTTACCGTATAAAGGCTCCATAATTAGCATAAACACTTTTACGCATTTCCTCTGCAGATGAATTCTTCAACTCAACCAAATTCCAGCAAAGATGCTTTATCTCCTGTTAAACAATTTCACAAAATCATGATTTCTACCATTATCATGCTCGAAGAAGAACGTCTAATGCAGAGAACAAATATCATTAGCTTCATATATGATATACCCTTTTCGTTTCTTCATAATTTACATGTTCTCAACAAATTGAGATTTTGTATGTAGAAATGAATACAAGAATGTGAAGAACAAGAAAGACACCTTCTCGGTCATGTTCTGGCATTTGGAGGTGAGATATGAATTGGGATCGAACTTAGAAGACTTGAACGTCTTTAAGCGATCTTTGAGAGTGAGATTGCTCTCGAGTTCTGCAGAGTCGCCGATACTCGATGAGAACGACTCTCTAGCAAAAAATGACGCATCCATTTTCTTGCATACGATTAGTGAAAGCAAAACAATGGGAAAAGAAAGAAACTTTGCCTAGAAACAAACACCCATTACAGGAAAAGAAAGGATAATCTTTTGAAGACGACGAGGAAGAAGCTTGAATTGGGTACCAGAGGCATATTAAGGAAACAATATCATTAATTCATTACCACAAAACTTCAGTAAGGCAGCCATGTTTTGCTTTCATTTTTTTTTTTTTCTTTGGGTAATGCCATGTTTTGCTCTTCGGGACGTAGGACTCGCTTTGTTCGTTTCAGAAGGATCTTCGCCGTCGGATCATACTATTTCGCTCCCAAATTTTAGGGTTACAAATTTTTTTTTATCTTAGTTATATAACGAGAGGTAACCATCATTTATTTTTTATTTTTTATTTTATTCAATTCACATGTAATATAATTTCAACTCAAAACTTATTAATTCTAACAGAAAAAAATAGTTACTTAATTATTTAGGTAATCAGCAATTACAACTTAAAATAAAGAAAATGACATCTGAGTGTGTACACTTGCTATTGAAAATAAAAAAACCCATCACCACCCGATTTAATTTTTTTTTTTTTATGTGGGAGTGCACACCCGGATATTGGATCTGGATGTGCACCAATCAAGATCTTTAAAATAATAATAATGACATTATAAATTTATAATATAATATTATATAATTATTAATTATAAACATTTATTTATTTAATATTATATTATAATTATAATTATGATATTTTTTTTTTGTTCTTTTAAAAACATAAAAATACAAATGTTTAAACATGAAAATGTGATTTTTTTTAAAAGATAAAAAAAATTTAAATTTGTGTTTTGGAGTTTTTACCATAAAAGAATGAAATGGAAGGTGAGCCCTTATTATCGGGTTTATTTAAAAAAAGATTAAGAAAAAACATTATTAGAGGATCGATCCTCCGCGTCTCATGACTAATATTTCACAATTTCGTCAAATTTAGAATGCAAAATAATTTTTTTCTTGGTTTTTGTAAATTATTTTATTTTATATTTTTTAAAGGCGAGATTTTTGGAAGGGAAAATCAATTTGCATCCTGTCATTTTGTTGGGGGAGAGCAGAGGTTTCATTTCGACGACGGTTCCGTCGTTGCCGGCTAGGGCGCGGAACTTATCTTTTCGGATGAAGGTGGCGCACTCGTACGAAAGGGTCGCGGCGATCAACCTCTGAATGTAATTGGCCGCCTCGTGGCTGAATTTTCCAGAGCTGCACGTCAGCTCCGGTGGCAGCTTGTTCAGGAATGTTACTTAGTCCGCCGGACTTGGGTTCATAAAGAAGTAATTAAAAAGGGTCCATCCCTTACCAGCCCCTCGCAGTTCTGCCGTGGAACATGCTCATCCGGTTCACCATGGCCACCAGGACAAGCTCGTCGGTTCATTCCGCAAACAGTGCCGAGAAACACAGAAGAAAAGGCTCCCTACAGGTGGTCCCCTTGGGGCAGATAACCAGGTCGCCCTCTTCTAGAAGTTTCTTTATCATGGATGCGTCCGTCGACTCCGTCACTCGGTCTCTGCTAAGCCAGAGAGTATTGATGGGAGAGATGATTTCCGACAGCCGCGTGAAGCAGAGGAAGTCACTGCCTGAAACGGGCGGCCGAGAACGGTGGAGAGGAAAATGGAGTCCAGTAGAGTTCAGTGGGAACAATGCTAATTAACAATGCCAATAAGTGAATAAAAAATAACAAATTATAATTAACGACAAATTCTCTGCGTGATGCATACCAATTTATAAGTGAATAAAAAACACCTTATATATAAAATATTAATTCAAATAAATATTAAATAAAA